AAGATGCTAGTAGTTTAAAATACTCTGCACGCACAAGGTATGTTGAAATTGAGCAACGCCGTATGAGTTGTTCAGAGATTGGTTGTAATATGAATCGACTTTGTGATTTTATAGAATATGGATGAATCCGTAACTAATAAGTAATCACCTTAGTGACTATTTGTCACGCCCCAAACCCTATGAACACGCAACATCCCGCCATGGTCTTCAATATGTGACGTCCCAGGATGCGTCGCCGACCCAATCGAATTAATAACGATTAAATGCATGCAGAAGCGAACTTAAATCACCCAATAACAATCGATAAACAGGATAGAGAGAAAAACACACAACATATATACATGATCAGTAGTATGCCGAGTTTTAGTATTTTACAAGTCCGCCACGCAGACATTCTCGAATACAACTACAAAAGGTAAGGGGTTAGCCTATCTCCTCTATCTACGAGGACAACCTTAAACTGTGTTCCTCTCAAAACAGTCGGTTCCCATGAAACGCTCCGCGTACTCATATCAGAGGACCTAAAAAGTGGTTAACAACAACGGATGAGAATAAATCTAAGCGAGTTCACGACCTAAGCCTCGACTAGGAGGTCAACTCATCTCAGATGTACTTAATACATGCAACGATATATCGATGGCAGACAACTCAATATACAAGATACAGGTACTTCACAACACAATCATAGGCAGCCTTACCTTGTCTCAGCATATGCACACGCCCTATACGTTATAATTCACTGCATGCCATAATAATGCAATAAGCATATAATGCAATCAGAATACGCATCAACCTTCTCAAGCATAATGCATTCACACGTGTCCTGATTATAAAGTGAAACCGTTTCGGCCCGTCCCATACCGTGCCTAGCAATTTCATCCCATAATCAAGCGTAATGCCATCACAATCTTTCATGCGTATTCCAAGTACTACAGCCACACCAGGGGCTACGGCACAACCCGCGATATTCGCCTCAGGTTGGCGGTCTTCCGGCATAACCAGGCATCGCCTTGCCCCATCGAGCGCGGCATCGTCTCACCAACCTCAATGATGGCATATCCCATAAATGGGTTCATTCCAAATCTGATTCGTGAATGACTACATCTCCCCTGCTACCAGTGACAGCTTCCAATTACCGAATTGGGGACAGCCCTTAGGGCCACAGCCAAACCCTAGGTTGGCGGTCATCCGGTAGAACCGGGTACAAAGGAACCTTTAGGTGATCATGCACACATAACAACACTCAGGTTCCATCATTATAATTTTCAATAGCCGATGCAAACATAATCCATGCTAATACGTTGAAATATCGCAACTTCCACACATAAAAATGTACTAAAATATTCACGCGTGATTATGCACATATCAATAAATTCTCAATCTCGGCACGTTTCTATATTCAAGTATTCACAACATATTTCTCACATAAAACTTAACAAATAAACCCGACACCTCAGGGTTTATTAATTAAATTCCCACAATTCTATATTTAATAATAATTAATCAATTCAATTCAACATACAAACCAATATATAAGGAAAGATTCCAACTTAGGCATCACAATTTAAGCCTAAAATAACCACAATTTAATTTTGGAATTTCCACAAAAATATTAATAAAATAATAATATTTTTAATTCTGAAAATTAATAAAATATCATTATTTAATTCCCGAAAATTAATATAATATTCCAACAGCTTAACAACTAATTCTTAATTAATTAACACTAAACATAATTAACGTAAACTAATCCGCTCTAATCAAGTTTAACCTACTAAGCAAGGGATTAGGGCGATAACTCACCCGTTAGCGATTCCGAGAGCACCGGCGCATCAACGGCGGCAAGGGCTACACGTGACACGGTCCGAAATTGACACGAAAAGGCGACACACGGCCGGAATAGGGCTGAACAGAAGCCATAGAACTGGTTTGGTTTCGGTGAGGTGATTTGGCGACAGAAAACAGCACGGACAGGTTGCGCACGGTGGCAGGGAGTCACGGCGTGGCTGTTGGTGGTTCCACGGCAACCACACAGCAGCAACACAGCAGCTAGGGGCTGTTCTGTTTGCTCAGCCGAAGGAGCAACTTAAAAAAGAGACAAGGGGAAGTTGCGTGGAAGAGGAAAAAGGAGAGAGGGAGGTCCAACGTGAGAAGAGAGAGAGAATGAGAGTTATTGGGAGATCTTATCCACTCCCAAAGTCTTCTTCATCATTTTCTTTTGTTTCTTGGTCATAAATGCTAGAAGGGTAAAATGGTAATTTCACAAGGTATAAAAATACTTATATACGTATACGAGTTAGATTTTTGTACAGGCTCGTATAATCAAATTTGGGCTCAAACGGATTAGGAATGGGCTTGAAAATGCTAATGGGCTCAAACTTGGGCTTGAATTGCAATTGGGCTTGAAATTGGGCTTAATGGGCTAAATTGGGCCACTTGGGCTTGCCTTGGGCCCATGTGGCCGAATCACATTGGGCTTGAGGCCCAATGTGCCTTCATCCAGCCCACTTCCTCATGGGCTCAAATTCTCGGCCCGTTAAATCCTTTTCCGAGATTTTCGAGCAAACTAATAAACAAGCAAATCAATAAAGTGGTGTCCAATATTTTAGTTTTGAAATCCTCGGAGATTCGACATCCAAATTCGGATTCTAATTTGTGCTAAAAATCAATCAATCACGACTTTAGTATATATCAAACTAACGGATGGCTTTTAGGAATTACGAGTATTCAATCCGTGATTGATTCGGTATCAAACCACGTTTTAGTTTTCTCGAATCATGGATGATTTCGATTATCACGTAATTGCGAGAGGTCAATTGCTAGTTCCGAAGTACGCGATCATCAATCAATGGGTTTAAAATCATTCGCAATATATACAACGGTCAAGCGGAATCACCCACGATCCGATTGTATGCTATTGGCGAATCGTTCTATAGCCATCCCTTGATCGGTCTATAATGGCTCAAAATTGTCCCTCGTCAATCCTTATGGTCAAATTGTCAATTCATGGTAGAGTTCTCAAGTTGTGCGTATATAATTCCTTAATAGCTTTTTCCTATCGGTTAATGTCTCATGAGTGATCAATTCAGAGTGAGATACAACTAAGAGTGCATTGATTAATATCATCATTTCATTACATCTGAATATGGTCGAAATTGAGGATGTCACACTATTTATTGTGATCTAAAGGTAGGAAAAGAATAACGACCGTCGTAGCAGCTCTAGCAAGATGACAATGGTGGCCGGGACTCGAGATTCATGTGCTATACAGAAGTCTGTAGAGAGATATTGAAGAAAATTGCGGCCCACTTTAAATTGGAAGAATCTCATCTCGCTCTCTCACAAAAGGCTAATAAATAATACGTTCGTCGCTAATTTCGTCGCTAATTAGCGACGGACACTATTCGTCACTAAATTCATCACTAATTTACTAATTCCACAAATAGAAAATTTTGCGACGACCTTAATTGAAAATTAGCGATGAAAACAAATTCGTTGCTAATTTTCGACGAAAATAGCGATGAAAAAGAGTTCGTCGCAAAATTAGCGACGAATATAAAAGTTCGTCGTAAAAATTAGCGACGAACATAAAAATTGGTCGCCAAATTTTGGGATTAACTTTTTGTGGCGAACATGAAGTTTGTCGCAAAATTTTTTATTTGTTAAATTTTTAATATAATAAATCATTGCTAATTTCGTCGTTAATTACTGTCATCGCTAATTTCGTCGCAAAATTACATTATAAAAAAAATATTGAGCCATGGAAAATTAGCAACGAACATAAAAGTTCGTCGCTAATTTTGCGTTGCCCGCCTTCACCCCCAGTTTCTCCAGAAAATATTAGGTGGTCTCGGACCGCCAAGTCAGCGTGGTCCCGGACCGCTCATGAAGCGCCACATAGCTCCACGTGGATTTGTGGGGCCGGCTCGCCAGCCCTCGATTTTCTCTCCACAAAAAAGAGTAATTTCCATCCCCACTCTCCTAGCCTGCACACTAGCCAATGCTCTGCTTTTTTTTTCTCATATTCTCTCTACTCATGAGTCCTATCTGTCCTTTCGTTTCCTTATCCGAAGGAGGAGAAGAAAAGCAAACAGGTGTCTCCCGCTCTCTCTGCCCTGCACATAAATTTTGAATTTTTCGCACCGAGATTTCGCTGGTCCACCGTTCCTTGCTGCTCCAGCATTCGTCAAGCGGCTGTTCCCCACTGTCGCTGACGACGAAGCATGTTAAGGCCACCCCTGCTCCATTGAAGCTCCAGTGTATTCCATATTACAAGGAAAATATTCAGGTTCATCTGCTTTGAGAGCAGTTTGCCGCTTTCTACTTTCTTGGCTTATACTTTTTCATTTCAAGCAAACTGTATTACCAGTTTTTCCGAATTAGATGTGCAGCTGGTAAATTTATTTTGATAGTAGTTTCCCAGAGTCGACTATATAACTCTCTTTTTCATTATTGCAGCTTATTTTCTCCACTGCCATTGATGGTAAGATAAAAGCTTAGTTGTATGATTGCCTGGGATCTAGAGTGGACTATGATGCTCCCGGTCGATGGTGCACCAGGATGGCTTATAGTGCGGATGGAACAAGGTAGCATGTTGCCTCAGAAATATACGCAACGAACTGCTCGATAGAAATATATACACCTTCTTCATTACCATTCCAACGACCGGGAAGTTACTTTTTTTTTTTTTTTTTTGGAGAAAATCGAGGGCTGGCGAGCAGGCCAACAGATCCACGTGGAGCCACGAGGCGCTTCATGAGTGGTCCGGGACCACGCTGATTTGGCGGTCCGAGACCACCTAATATTTTCTCCATTTTCTCTTTCTCTCTCCTGATTCCTACACCACACTGTCGACTCTCCTTCTCTCTCTCCCCCGGAAACAATGGCGTCTTAGCTCCCTCCTTCTCTCTCTACAGTCCAGCAACTCTGTCGCTCTCGACTCCCACTTCGCGTTCGAAGCGCTTTGGCGTCCGTGCGGCGTTTGCCGGGAAGGTGGCGGCATGGTGGACTCGGGGCTCTCCGGTTCGAACGAAACCAGCTACAGCAGCGGCGTGTGCTCCACGCCGACCGGCACGGAGGCTCCCTCCTCATACGCGACGCCGCCGGATACGGAAGCCCTGAGGAGGCTCTCCGACAGCCTCGAATCGATCTTCGAGCGCCCGCGCTCCGGCGCCGGCTCGTCCTTCTCCGACGCCGCGAGGTCCCCGTCCACCGGTGCGTCCTCGCCGCGGGGAGCCCGTTCTTCGGGGCCGCGTTCGCGGGGAGTGAGAGCGGGGCGAGGCTCGAATTGGCGGAGGTGTTTGGCGTGAGTTCTTTCTTGGGTGTTCTTCCTTTTTTTTTTTCTGGGGAAAAGGAAGAAACTGGAGAGGAGCACGCCGGTGAGGAAGCCTAACACTTCGACTTCAGATCTGCTCACGTGGTCGGAGACTCCGCCTCCCCACGATTCGGTCGCGCACGGTTCGGCTTCCTCTCTCTCCAATTCTCGCTCTCACCAGGCGCGGCGTTCGCTCGATTCATTCTTGATCTTTCGTTTTAGTTTCTGTTTGATGCGATGAGTGTGCTTCTGCTTTATTTTTTTCATGTAAAGTACTGATGATTTCCTGCTCATAGAATGAGTTTAATTTGCAAATGACATGGGAGGAGGTTCATTTGATGTGCGATCAATCTCTCATTTGCACTCTTTCGTGAGACATATCTATTTGTTAATTTTCATTTGAACTCAATTTGTGACTGAAGTGGTAAATTCCTTCTTCCCGCTTGTTGAACTTTTCTTTTTGTTTTTTTCCCCTTTGGCACTCTGCCATTAGTTTCATTTCTGACTTCTACTGAATTTCTTACTCTTGTTAAACTGATGGCTCCATCATGGTTGTTAATTTTGCGGGTGTTGTGAGAAGAGAGTAAGTGCTGTTGCAGTAAGCAATGATGGCCTATTTGTGTGTTTTGCTGATAAATTTGGAGTTGTTTGGGTTGTGAGTTTAAAGGAGGATGCTGAAAATCAGGCTTTGCCTGATAAAAAAGCAGCACCAATGCTGGCTCACTATTGCAGCATCATCACTAGCTTGGTAAGTTGGTTTCTTTTTCAAGGTGTCCCTTTTATCCCCTTCTCTGTGTCCAACATACCCAGATAAAGTTTAAACTGCTGTTAATTTTTTGAAAGAGAACTCAAATGTTAAATTCTTTTATTGATTTTGGTAATGCTTAAATATTTGCTAATTTTTGGCGAGACTGTCCATCCTTGACGTCATGATGACCTGTATGCTTTTGAATGCTTCGTCGTTGTGTTATTAAGTGAAGAATCTTTTGCAGGAATTTTCTCCAGATGGACGGTTCATTGTCAGTGCTGATCGGGATTATAAAATTCGTGTGAAGCTATTTACTTATCTATCAGTTAAACTTCTAGGTTGTTCTTAGGCCAATCTTGTATCATTTTGTAATTGCCACAGGTTACTGTGGTTCCCAAGAATCCATTGGATGGGGCTCACGAGATACAAACTTGTTGCTTGGGTCATTCTGAGTAAGTGTCTATGCGTTGAAGTTCGAGGCCAGGTGTTTTGAATAGAAATTTTGAAAAGATTTTGGCTTTTTATGTGCCCTTGACACGATTAAACATCGAATCATGTATGCTGTTCCGAAGATTTTATTGGCAGATTAAGTGGGGTACTAAGTCGCTTTATTTCTGATGTTTATGACATATGTATCCTGCCTTGACTTCATTCGTTCCCCAGATTATCCACATGGGCTTCTTGTTTCAGGAAGCGGTGATTCCACTGTGAGTGATTGCAGCTGAGAAGTTTCCCCGGTTTACATGGAGTCTAGTTTTACCTAAGTACTCAGTGCATCTTTCCTCTGTAGGTTCGCCTTTGGGATGTGACATTGGGTTCTCTCTTGGATACTTGTGAAATTGGAGCTAAGGTATTGGTTCCTCACCTCTTTGAATGTTAAGATGGTATCACTGACTTGAATGCGTCTAAGATTTTTGTCAGACTTATAATGCTTCAAAGATTCTATGTAGTACCTACTTCCACAGAACTGTATTCAGGTTAACTTATGTCTCAGTTAACCAGTAAATGTGCTTGCACTTTCACAATAGAGCAAAATGACTAAGAATGCTTAGGTGTGGTTCAAACTAGCTGCTGTTTCTTTCATTATAATTTTGTTCTGTTTAGTTCTTCACCCAGTTTGACAGAAGGATTTACTTTCTTCCTGAAGGCAGAACTTTCAGCTACTGATGGAATAGAAGAAGAGCCCTGTCATGCTGTCACTGATCTTTGCACTTGTCCAAATGGTACATCCATAGCATTGGCAGTTCAGAGGCAAGTTCCAGAATACTCTTTAACTCTTTAGGCTTGAACCTGGAAGATTTCCTGATTCATTTTCTTGATTCTGATGCTTCATGTGTGGTTTTTGTAGCTTGAAAGGTGTAATGCTTCTGAACTGTGATCTTTCTGCTAAAACTCTTTCTATAGCCAAGGTAAGCATATCCCTAGTACTCTCCCTGTTTTGTATTTTTGAATGGCCTGCAAATACATGCAATGCATGGGTCAATTTTCTTGCAACATGTCTATGCATTAAGGGAACGATCCGGGGAAAGAAGAATTCTAATTAGGCTCATTCCCCCAACCCATTGTAGCCAGACCTTTGAATAGATGACCGTCTGACAATGTTTATATGAATTATTCAATCTTGTATCGAAGTTTAAGGTGGCTCGCACATGTTTTGTTATTATGAGTAGGTTGTTGATTGTAATCTATTGTTGCTACTTCTGGACCGTTTTTATATGGTTAAACGCATACATAACACGGTGTCTGTCCCTTGACTGCTGATTTTTTCAGGTGATACTCGTTGAAGGAGAGACCTTAATACCGACAAGCTTGGGGACAAGCTTATCCGAGGGACTTCTGTGGATGGTCACCGGTATCTCTAAGTTGCGTGGTTCGGACCAATCCTCTTTGGCTCAAGTGAGGGCCGTGTCTGCTTTTGAGGACAACAGTGTACAGCGGACGGAACATAATCCTCTTGAGAGGATTATGTTCAAGTACATTGAGCTATGTGTTGATATGCAGAGGGGGAGATTTGCCAAGGATGTTCAAGTACATTGAGCTTTATGTTCAAGTACATGGAAAATGTAGATGAATGTATTTCATTTTCATATTATTATAATATTTTGATGTTATTAAGTGCTTAATCAATGTTAAATACAAATTCTAGAAATTAATTTTGCTTTTAATTAGATTTAAAATCGAAAAATAAAAGAAATGATTTTATCATACGATCACAAATTATAAAAGTTCATTGCAAAAATAAAATTTCGTTGCTAATTTCGTCCCTAAACAATATTCATCGCAGAGTTCGTTGCTAAATTCGTTCCGGAATTCGTGGCAAAAGTCGATTTTTCGTGGCAAATTAGCGACGAACTTTGCCACGAATAAATTCATCGCAAATTACTGACCAAAAAAAAAAATTTCGTGGCAAATTAACGGCGAATTTTGCCACGAATGATTAGCGATGAATTGATTTCGTCGCAATTTAGTGACAAAAATTGAAATTTTTCGTCGCTAAATTTTGCGACGCCGAATTGGCGACGAAATTTTTTTCGTTGCATATTCATTTAGCGACAAATTTTGCCAAATTTTGTGGCAAAATTCGTCGCTAAAACCTAATTTTTTTTAGTGCAAAAGCACTAATTTGAAATGGAAACTCTCACAAATTCCAGTAAGTGGAATATTTTTAAATATGAAGCATGAAAAAATAAATTAAATACTAAAATATAGATAATCACAAGTCGAAAAATATCATAACTAACTCAAAACAAATCATTAATAATGAATTAGTAGACAAAAAAAAAAATTACCCTCTTGATTCGAATCTCATAGATGAAGGTATGCAAGGACCTAAAATATATTACAAGATCAGTCTTAGGATCACATGAGCCAAAGTTAAACTTAAAATAAAGAAAAAAAGGATTTTCGATTGAATTTCGTATTAAGTTTATTTTTGAGTTATTAATGTTGCAATTTAAAACCCTTTGAATTTACCTTAAATCTTTTTTTTTTAAATCGGTCAAGCGAGTCTCTTATTTTTGACTCATTAGAAAATTACCCTATTGAATAATCGAATCTCGTAGATCAAAGTATATAAGGACCTGAAAAAAATTGCAAGATCAATCTTATGATCACATGAGCCAAAGCTAAAGTTAAAATAAAGAAAAAAGGATTTTCGATCAAATTCCATATTAAGTTTTTTTTTGAGTTACTAATGTTGCAATTTAAAACCCTTTGAATTTAGCTTAAATCTTTTTATTTTTAATCGGTCAAACGAATCTCTTATTTTTGACTCATTCAAACTCATCTATTCAGTTGAATTGCGAAAATCAAGAGAAATCGTGGTGCAAAAGATCCGGCCAGATAACCGCTCGGAAGGAGAGATTGGAGGGGAGGTCACGAAAACGATATCCACTCCAGTTCTCATCTGTGCGCGGCGTTCTTCTGCCGTTACTCCACCGCAAGCTTCTTCACGCCAGTCATCCTCCAATACACACTCAAATCTCCATCCATCCCCGTGATCATCATCTCCATCAAGTCCAGTTCTCAGAGAGCTCTAAAACACTTCGTTTTGTGGATTTCTTTCATTCGCGAACCGTCACAGTCGCTATCGAACGTTGTCTGAAGCCATCGTCTGCTTCATCTTGTTCTTTGATCTTTGGTAGAGAGAATTCGAGGAGGTCTATTCTCGCTAGAAGTTTCTGGCGCTCATCTTCCCCAGGGACGCTCTCCAGAATCTCATCGTGCTCGCTTGACTAATAATCGCCATCAAAATTCCTCCTGAGCAAGGTAAGACTCGAAACACTCTGATTCGGTTATTTTGCAGACGAAAGGTTAGCTTGAAGTCAGATGTTGATGTTTTGTCTGGAAAGCGATTAGGGTTGGAACTAATTTTCATTGATAGGAATTAAAACCTTTTCAAGAAATACTTTGGACCGAAATGTAGACTTAGTATTGCATATGGAATTGTTTTCCACGATGCTCACCATTTTGTTCGATTAAATGCACGAGGTAGATCCGTGGCAGTGACTATAAGCTCCATTAGAAACCAATGCGGCATATCCTAGATGATTTTGTTAAAAGAATGTTGATTACTGGATATGTTTGCTAAGTCAATTTACTGTCAATCCAGAATTTCTTTCACATACCGGTGGATTTGATTTCCATTACATTTTGTCATCCTCGAGTACGTTACTGATTGCTTGTTTTTGCTGTTGTTGTATTTGCATGGTTCGTGTTAAACGGTGACCGTTTGTGATAAAACGGCTGGAGCTGAGATCGTGCTCTTCCTTGTGAAGGTTTCACTGTTGTCTCGGTAAGTCATGGGCGATTCCTGTTGGAATTGCAGTCCGGCAAACGGTGAGGGCGTAGTTCTTGCTATACAAATAAGAAATCGGCAAAGGAATATATGGTTGATATCTTGACGTTCTGGTATGATGAGCTTTGAGTTTTGATAATCTGGTGTAGTGAGCTACGTTTTTTTTGGATCTGTGCATTCCCAGTTTGTCTTGAAGAAGACGATGAAAGGAATACGCCTAAACAAATAAAAAAAAATCAAAGAGAAAAGAAAGAAAAAAGAAAAAAAAATATCATGGGTTTAATCAGTTCATAGTAAAAGATGACCTAAGTTGAGGGTTTTTTTTTTTTAACTTGAGCTTGTTACGATTTTAATTGAGTTTGGGTTTGGTTTGGTCTTTAGAAAGTATGCGCCTAATTTCACTCGAATAGGTTTGGACTGAATTAATATATTTAGTGAATGATTCTAGATAGATTGAAAGGGCTTGATTTAAGAGTCCAAATTTGCATCTGTAGCCTAGACCCGTAGGATCAGATCAGCCGATATCCGAGCCTAGCCCGAGTCATTCCAGAAAATAAAAAAAATCCGAAAAATAAAACAATTGGAAAAATATTTAGAAAAGTAGACCTTGATTAGGTTGTTAGATTTTACTATTAAAATTAATCTAGTTTCGTTTAGTTATAGTTTAGGAATTATTAGGGAGTTCTGATTTTCTCTAGTTTAAATATAGGAAAATTAGTTTATTTAGAAAATTGAATTTGATTTGAACTTAGCTCATGGGAGTTGCTGTCCTAGGGCTCAATAATGAGGTCATGTAATATTCTTTGCCCGACTTGTATCGGCTTATTGTTACCGCACATTACTTTTTACTCTCCTCTTATTATCGCTTTTGATGTGTTTGTTTTAGCCTTCTATGTAGTATCCTTGATTGAGTTTCTATTATTTTTTTTAGCCAAGTTGGATGGTTTGGCCATACACTGGAATCATAATAAACACACAAACATTTGTATGGACATTTAGCGGGGCGAGAACCTTAGGATTCATAATTTTATAAAAAGACAGGACATTTCAGTTGACATATATAATCAAGTTTGAGTACTGAAAGGGCAATATAATCAAGTCCTCGATCCTAGATCTCGGGTTGTGTAACAAGTGAGGTATACTCCCATACTTCACTTGGTTCTTAGTCGACCCCAATAAACTAGTGGCGACTCCTCATATAGAATTTTAATAGGGTTAATTGAATCTATATGAATTTCCGATCGTAGTGCGAGTTAAGGGTTTGAGAGAACTCGAACTGATTGTGGACCATCGGTCTGTGTTTGGGATTACCTCTAAACCCATATATCCCTCGACACCTGTCGCGACCTCTCAATAAGAAGCTCAAATTGGATATGCTCTCATGAGCGCATGCTCACGGAGCTATAACGGCAAAGAAGAGGAATCGAGGTTACATGCTACAATTAGTAACGAAGCCAATTAGGAGAACCTTGCTAATGGTCTTCAAGTGGGATCGACGATGCTGGAGCTTTAGATAGGACTTAATCTCCTTGCAGTTCTTGGCTACAAGACAGAGCTGAAGAGGTGACGTACACATTGACGGAAAAGCTCAACAAGGAAGAGTTCTTTGCCACGATTTTCGGTTGAAATGACGAGGAATCTCATAATGCTTTGACTGAGGAGATTAGCACCGGCGACAAGATTTGAACCAAAGATGGAGCACTTCGAGACTCTCGACCAAGAAAACAGAGCAACAGAGAGTATGCTCGGCAGGTGATGAAATCACCTCCAAGCGATTAATGACATCCGAAAGATGATGAAAAAGAGCAAGAATCTTGTAGAACCTCCCGAATCTCTTTTTTCCCCGAGAACAAATTTCTTGAGTTGCTTTCAATTTTCTTTTGGTAAGGGAGTTGCTTTCAATTTTCTCTTAGTTGTGAACTCAAAAATATCATCTCCCCTTCTAACGAGCAAAATTCACCTTTATATACTCTGATCCATACAGTTAGATGAGAGAGAGTTTGTTATCCACGTCTTTTTGTGCATGTGCTCAATCCTCAGCACCCATAATCTTTGCTCAACTTTCTCCTTTTCACACGGGCCTTCGTCTCCAGCATTTCCAGTGGGCCTAGTTTTTATTTTTCCAGGATATAGCTCAGCAGGGATTTAGATATGCCTCATTATTGTAATCTTTTAAATTTTTTTGTTTTACTCTTTCACTATCTTGATGATCTCTAATCGTGTCGTTGTCGTGGCCATATTAAGCCTTTATATTACAGTAGGCCTAACTATTCGAGAAGAAGCCCCAAACTTTATCTTATCTATCAATTTTGGCATCATCTTGCAAAATTATTTTAGGAGCTGAATACTTTGCCTTGCTACAATTCAAAACTACTCATTCTACATTAATCCATGCCGTGTCTTTCCATCTATGCTCTCTTTGTATCTCTATCAGCTCTATAACCTTCTTAATCACTGGTCTTGTTTTTTTCTTGGCCTTTTAACTTGCTGTTTCTATGTCGAGTACATATACCTAGAGGACTTGATGCGGTTTATGCCCAAAGATTAGGCTGTTAAGACAATGAGTCTATTTGAAAGAATATCTGAGAGTCAGAAAATTAGCAAACCATCCTTAAAAAGACTGGGTGGTAAAAGATCGTAGAAAGTATCTAGCGTTGTTATCTTGACTCTTTTAGCACTTGATTGAAAGATTGGTACAAGTAAAATGAGGTCGTGTATAAAAAGAAGGAAATAATGACAATATAATTCTAAGGTAAGTCATGGAATGCTAGTATATAATTAAGTAATAACTAATTGTGACCTCATCCAAGGTCATTCACAACTAACCAACCCAAAAGTACATAATGAGTCATAATTAGAATCTCTTAGCCTTTGTGTCTGGGATTGCATTTAGATGGTGCTCGACCTAGT